TAGAAAGTCTAACCATTTGCAGATGTCATTACAAAGGCAGCACTTTCTCCTCAATTATTTAAAGACCCTGAGTGTTGGTCCGGCCGGGGTTTGAACATGTTGAACCTGCGACCTCCCGCACGCTAGTCCGGTGCTCTACCACTGAGCTAACCGGTCGGCGGTTTTTCCTTTTCGCTTATCCGACGAATTTCACTGCAAAATTTGAAAAAAGTTTACACTGGTTATTTGGAGTTACGACTTAAAACGTGTGGCAATGTGAAATCGGTAATTGTATGAGATGTTTCCTTCCGCCTTGCTTCCCGTACCTTCAAAAATGCAGGTCCAAACAATTCTACGGTTTTCAGTCGATCGAAGCCAGTGTTTTGGAGGTCATCAAGTCTCGAAAACTGCAACACTTACGTCGCTCTTATAGACATGAAGCATTCTAGAAAGTAAAACAAACTGGATTTAATAACACAACCATACCTTGACAAAATACATTCTCGCTAAGGACAAATGTAAACGGGTTAGAAACATGCGTGGGAGTCTTGTGTTTAAGTAACGAAATTACCATCCAAAACAGTCCTCGAGTTTTCTTTCCTGCTTTTCGTTTGCCTGCTCCTCCACTTCGTATCTAACTTTCCATTCCTAATATACAAGCAGTTCGTCTCCAAAGAAGTCTTCCCCGTCGTCGCTTGAAATATTGCAAATTGTTCTCAAAGCTCTAAGCAGTGAGTTCACAGTTGACGAACGTGCTCGATCAAAGTTTATTTCGGTGTCTTCCGAATCGAAACCTAACTCTGACTCCAGTGACGAAAAAGAAATGATTCTGAAACAAAACTTGAACATTTTAGTCCCAAAATATATTGGAACGATTAGTTTTGTTTTCCATTTTCTCGAGCAAATACAGAGTGTTGACTGAGGTGTCATTGTGTATGGCTCCTGGGTAGACGTCATCAGCAACCGCCGCCCCAGACTCCCTGAAACGCGGTCGTGTAACAATTCAGGCGCGACTTTGAAAGGGCATAGAAAATCGAGGATTCAACCAAATCCAAACATTTTTTCGCCCAAATGCTTCAAATAAGAAGTGGATTCGTTTCAGCGAAAAAAATTTGGGGGGTTAGGTGCACTTTAAACGCTTTCAATAAAGTGCCGAAAGTTGTATCCAGGATTGCTTTGATTTCGCTTTGCTATGTTTTTCAATTGGTTTGAAAAACATTCGCCTCATGCTCATCTAATCAGATACAAAACCATAGCCAATCACAACCTGGTCATGTGCGTACTCCTGCGCTTGTAACCGTTTTCTTGTATTTCCCTTCGCGTTCTCGTTGCTTTATTGTGTTAAAACATTGTTAACGTTTATTGTGACCACTTTAGTTTGGTTTAACGACAGTTAACACTTAAATAAGCTCACAAAATAGCTTTTCAATTCGTCTTTTGATTCTCTCCGGTCAGCAAAAGCACAACTCCTCAAAGGAGAAGTAGAGCACGATAAAAATGACTTCAGAAAAGCTTTAAGTTGCTACACTGAAGGAATTGAACAGAAATGCACAGATTGCAAACTAAACGCCGAGCTTTACGCGAGGAGGGCGCACTCGCATTGTCATCTGGGTGAGTTGACACGATTTTTTAAAATTTTTTTTATTGTTTTACTTAAGTGAATTAAAATGTCTAACATCAAAATGTAAAAAGTATATATATATTGGCTATTTTAATTGCTACACATTTCTTTAATTTGGCTACTTCGGAGAATTTGGTAATGCATCATTTCATGATTTCTTTGTTCCCATCATCTGTCTGCTTGATTAAGTATTAATATTGCAAAAAGCCAATCTCACGTCTTCCTTTCATGAAAATGATATTGTTCGTTATTGATGAGAGGTGCAGTGTAATATAGTGTATTAGATGCCAGATGAAGAGCTTTCATGGAAAGCAAGTGATGGTTTCCATGTTGTATTCCTCGACTAGTTATTTTACTCCCGCAGTGCTCCTCCTTACTAAGAATCCCTGGGGGTATGAAAAAGGGTAACAGGAATTATTCAGGCAATTTGGCCGAAAAGCTAAAGCAGAAAGCCTTTGATGGACAACCTTCCTATTTGTAAGCCAGTCATAAACCATCATGCTTCATGGTTTTGTAAGCCTCCATACAAGGATACTTCATCTACTAAAAATGGTGTCCCACAATGTTCTGTCTTTGAACTCCTGTTGTAATGATCAATATTTTCATCAATGACTTACTTTACTTCAGGTAAGAGGCTCAGCTGACAAATCACGCTTATGATAATCAGCTCTGATGCAGCTGCTGTTGGAAATGTTCTCAACAGGGAACTTGCGATTGTGTGTAATTAGTGGCGAAATAATAGGATGATCCTAAACCTTGAAAAATGCAAGGCTCTGGTTCTGCATGTCGCGTAAGCCCAATATTAATCTGTCTTTGTGTGCTGAAGGAATAAATATACCGCAAGGTTATTCTTGATGATTCACTGAATTTTGAAAACACATTACAAAAATCAGCAAGAAAGTCGGAAAGCAGCTGGACGCATTTTCTAAACTAAAGAACATATTATCGTTTCCAACTAAATATATGTCTCAGTTTACATTGTGTAAGTCATTCTGATTACTCGGGCTTCCGTAGGAAAGCCCGCGTCTTAAAATGCAAACGTTTTGGTCGCCAAAAGGGGGATCATGGTCCCAGGCGTTCCGTGCGTAGACCATGGAAACTGTGGACGAGAAACGCGACATTGCTTGCTCTTCGTGACAGAATAAGGTATTCTGCTAAGAAAGTTTTGGCAAGAATGGCGCCGCCTTATACGTTCATCTCACATACAAAGATGTCGACCGTTTTTAGAAAGGGTCGGTCCACGAATTATATTGCTTGAAAGCCAGCCAGGTAAGCAAAGTTCACGCTCGAAACGTTCTCGTGAGATAACAATTAACTGAGCCGATTGCTCAGTTAATTGTTCAATCTACGAAAACACTGGCAAAAAATAGGCAGTCAATGACGGTATGTGGCTACTGCTGTTATTATTTAGAACATTGCAGTAAAACGAATTATATTGCAATAAAACGAGCTAAACACGAAAACGTTTTTGGACTCTAGCTCATTAAAAACACGTGACTTGTTTCTTGCACCGCGCAAAATATGTCGATCTCCAATGATGTAAAGATAAGACTTTCGGTAACTTGAGTTAAATATCTTACCTCCAAGTTAGTTGGCTTTCTAGTAGGGTGCAGGAAAAAAAAATAACGTGTGAATTTGGAGGCACATTGTGCGGGAGAATTAA